GTTGCTTAAAAATAAGAACAGCAGCCTCATCAGCACAGCACCCCTTACTGCCATGGCTGAATGGCTGTCTGACTACTGAACCTCCAGGTCCATCTTTTGCTGCATCTTCCACCTATTGGGAGTCACTTATTATACCTATCTCCCCCTCTCTCAAACTCATCTGAAATACATATATATATATTTCAAAAACTCCAATGCAAACCTGACACAGTGATAATTTTAAAAGCTATGCTGCTCATGTCAAATTATTCAACATCTGTCTTCATGTTCCCACAAAAATTAGCATAGGATGGTGGTTTCTGATGACACCTATAGTGAAATATTTTGACTTCATCCAGCAAGTTGCAAACAACCTGTCAAGAGGATAATGTCAGTTTTCTAGTACTGCATATTAAAGTCAATTGAGGGCTTATCTGGTGTATGAAGCTACTGACCTGACCTAAAACTACAGGCTCTAATGTCACAGGAGAGTCAGTGTGACACATTACAGCTGGAGAACAGCAAGGCATTCTGAAGCACTGGACTGGATAGATTTAATGCCTTGACCTTAGAGAGCTGTTAAAGACCTATGCAAATCTTGGACCTACCCAGTCCTTTGGTGAGTCTATTTCTATGGCACTCCAGTTAGAAAACTCATTCCTCAAAAGGCTGTATACAGCCTAAGCCACCAGAGATTTAAGGGCTGGACAACAAAGATAAATGGTTGAGCACAAAAGATGTGTGAACATGTGTGTATGCTTTTATATATATACATACACACATATATAGTTAGGAGGAGCACTGTGCTCATACTTCACATTTTCCAAACAGAACTAGCCAAGAAGTGGCTCATGGAGCCAGCTCCTCTCCTCCTTCAGCCAGTAATCTACTCAGCCATTTCTGAGGGCACAGGGTACACTGAGATGACAGCAAGGTATCTTGAGAGCTCCATGTCTCGGACCCTGTTCCTGCTGGCAAAACAGCTCTAGGCAGAGGCAGGTGAGAGGGATGGATCCAGGTCACCAGGCTCCAGGTGGCATTAGACTGTCTGTGCCCCAGAAACTGGCAGTAAAAGACATGCACGCACACAGGTTGCAAGACTGTGTGAGGCATACTGCATTGTAAACTCTAGTAAAAGCATTTTTACTTTACAGATAAAAGGAGCAGGAAACAAATCATATCATGTGTACACGAAATGAAAAAGTGCAGATGTTTATGGCTTAAATGCAGGATATGTTTTACCACGACACTCCTTCATCATAAGACATAAGAAATCAGTCTTCCAATAGATTTTTTTTTTGGCTGTCTGTAGTGGTATCTCAGGGATGATGGTGTCTCTTTAAAGAGAGAGCCTTAACAGGTCATTTATTCCCCACTTCTGAGGCCAGGGCAGGCCTACTCTACACTGCAAGTGCTTCACCCCCTCCAGTTTCAAATGCAGCCTGTCCAGGCCCTCTGATCATGGTGCTAGGTAGCTTTCCCTGCTGCCCAGCCTAAACCTTCCTTCTATTTCCTTTCCATCACCTGGATGTATGTAGCCCCTCACCATGCCTTGTGATGCCCATTCCTGAAACGCCTTCTCCGCAGGTCCCCTCTTGAGAGGCAGGGGACAAAACATCCCACTCTTTTATTCCACCTGAAAGGCTGCCGCTGATCAGCTGGACTGTGGTAGTTGCAAGACAACCCAGAAGTGTTAATTATATCCTGCACATGGAGCAAGCACAGCAGCAGCACTGTGCACACTCTGAAACAGAGCTACACAACTCCTGAAATCTACAAGGTTGACTGGGAAGCAAGCGGCACGCTCTTCCCCTTGAATACCTTCCCCACCCCCAACACCACCAATCGTCTCTTCTTTCAGTCTAATTTATAGTCTTTAAGTCTTGATAACTCCAAGCCTGGAAGGGCAAGTCCCCTGTCTCCTTACCTCTTCCTTCCTCCTCCCCAGTTCTGACATTTTCTAGGGATCTGTTACGGCTTGCTCCTTATCTTGACCAGCAGCATTAACATACCAGGACTGAAAGGCACGTGCAGCCTGGGAAATGGGCTACCACAAAAGGCTAATAAAAGTTGCCTCTTGGCAGTCTGCTGAATTGCCTTCCCGATCAGGCCAGCCTTGTCTCACTGCAACAAACAAGGCTGAAAGAATGGGATCAGCTAATGAGAAGAGGGTTTCAGACACACTTCAGTCATTACAACAAATGCCAATTTATATAACAAGCCTCTTCAGGTAGCAGGCAAAAAGCACCTTGACTCCTAATTAAATTGCACCTCGATTGTAAATGCTCCTTTCCCAGAAACGCCCTTACACACATTTTATTTATACCATTCATCTCAATAAACCTCTCCAACAACTCCGCTCTCCTAGACAGAGGTCTTTTGTGCACATCCATGTGGGTGTATTATTTAAAGGGTACATCACATGGACACTTTATCTTGTTTAATCTGATTTAATCTCAGGAGATTTGCTAAAGTAAAATATATTTATAGACCCATATAGATGCCTCCCCCAGTCTCCACTGCCATAAATAAATATTCAAAAGCAGAAACACAGATCTGAACCATGACACTTGAGATCCCATAATTTCTACATTTGGTGCCACGTGAGATAAACATTCACAACACAGAATGGTCAAGTACTGCTTAAAGCTATGGTGAGAGATTTAGGAAAAATCCAAGGGGGGGGGCAGTAGGACTAATTTCTAATCCTGCTTTATTTATCCTTGCAAATATAACCATATCAATCCAGCTCTGCTCGACCCATCAGTAACAGCAATCTTGCATCCAAAGAAACAGTGCTGGCTGCACAAGGCATGAAAACAGCACAGGTTAGTGGACTGAAAACAGGATTGGGAAAGACAATATGAAAACTATCAGCCACCATCCAGTGTGCTGATTCCACGAGACACTGCTTTGGGCTGCCCTGAGCAACAGCTGCGTATTAAGGCTCCTGATGTTAGATAGTTTGAAGAGGTAGGGGTGGGGAGAGGAAGGAAGAGACTGGGTTTCCCCTTTGTGTAGTTAAGTAAGAGAACAGATAGAAGTAGTGTACCATTTTGGCTCAAAAGGATATCTTCATCTTAGTGTATGTCTCTATCTGTGCTTTCTTTTGTACACAGTTTCTCCAATCTCTCTGTGAGAGAAAAAGACAAAAAACATCAGTAAGTTATTCTGAAGATCTAATTTAGCAGCAACTGTGTCAAATGTAGGTTCACTGAAGTGGATGAAAAAATACATCAGGCAACCTTTTAAAGCGCATTTAAGCAAACCTGGTTTTAAGCTCTGTCCCTCTTGCTACAATCCTGAGCTGAGAGGCCATTCTACAGCAAGTGACAGCTATTCAGCAGCAAGAACACTAAAGTGAAATCATATAAGTTCGGCTAGAGGCAGATTACCTGTTTTAAAGGATTAAATAGCATGCCCTGATCAGGTTTCTGTACCACAAACTCATTCTACTCCTCGTCTTTCCAGCCTTCTGAGGGTCATATAGTTTTCATCTGGACATGCAGGCTGGGAGAAAACACATATACCGAGAGGAAGAAAGAAAAAATGAAAGGAAACTAAATACTCTCTATTTAAAACGGTTATTTTACAAAACAGACCCAAACTCATATTAACACCCCAGCCCTCAAGGAGAAAGGAGGAATTGTTTCCATTAAAGAAATACATCATTAAAAAGTGACCTACAAAGACTTACCCACAGTCAGTGAGACTGAACTGATCTTTGCCAGAGCTCACACAAGAGACTGGCTGCGTGCTGTTAAAAAAAAAGAGGGAGCGGGGGGGCTGGATTCTCTCACTGGGGTCTCTCTTCAGAGCTCAGAGAGCCTGGCTTGTTAGAGGCAGCGGCATGCCTTCCAGGAGGACTTTACAGCAACGCACAACTGAGTTGTAAGCCAAGATAAAGCCGGCTTGTTATGAGAGACAAGACTTGTGGGTTGCTTTTATTTATTTTTTCCCAGTGTATTAGAAATGCAGATCTTGTAAAGCAAGAATTCAGAGAGGGTTGGGAGAGGGAAAGGGGGGTTGCACGGCTGGCTAACGTAAATTCCGGGTGTTTTCTCAGCCCGAGCTTGTGCTCGGCGGTGGCACTGGGTGCCATCCCCCCCACCTCTGCCCTCGCACTGAGGGGCTGCGGGAGGCAGACACCTCTCACGAGGAGACCACCCGAGCTTGCCATTTGCCACCCTGCCTGCAAACAAGGAGAGGAAGCAAGCTCGGTAAAAGCAATAACAATAGTAATAGTAAGAGAGGAAAAAAAAAAAAGAATCAACCAGCCCTACATCAGCTCTGCCACTGATCACCACCCACCAACCTCCATCATCTTAAGAAGAAAATCAGCAGCAAAGTTCCATAGGGTGCAAAACCAGCCTAGCCCCTCCCGGGGCGCCCGGCGGGGCTTGCCGTGGGAGTGAGGGGGAGCCGGGGCAGGGCGGGGAGCCGGCCCCGCCGAGCCGGGAAGAGCCGCCCCCCGGGCCGGCAGCGGGGGAAGGAGACCCCGACGCTCCGACGCGGAGCCCCGCGGGGCAGCGCTGACCGCCCTTCGCTCTGCTCGCCGTGCCGGCAGTCCTGCGAGGAAGCAAACCCGCAAGCGCAGGGCGGGGAGAGGAGCCTTCATCCTCCCCTTGCCCCAAAGAAAATGCAACTCGGAGGTGCTCCCGGAGCCACCCCCACCGACATCAGCGTGGCGTCCCCACGCGAGTAGGGAGAGAGGAGGCAGGGCCGGGGCCCGAGTCGCTCCCCGGTAGCAGCCCCGCCGGCGGTCTCTGCGTGCCATGTCGGCGGACTCGTACATGGGAGGCGGCCAGAGGTTACGGCGAGGAATTATGAAGTAGCTACAGGCGCTGGAAGCCCTATTGCTGCATCAATCTCTCCGCTCAGGCTGCGACGAGCTTCGCCGGCATCATTTACTTTCTCCTGCAGGTGCTTTTTAACTTTGATCCCACCGCTGCCGTCTGTGCCCTCGCCCCCCATCCCCACGGCCCTCCTCCGCAAACAGCGACCGCGACAGCGTCCCTTACCGTACACCCCTTGTCCCCTGCTGTACACCGGCATCAGAGACAGGAATAAAAAACAGATCATGTCCATCTTCAAGGCAGAGGCTTCATCGCCAGCGAAGAAAAACAGCCAAAACAGCTCAGGCAGCATCCGGCGGGGGAGCAAGGAGCAGCCGAAAGCCTCCCGAAACGCCACCCCATGCGCCCCGCTCCGCGCCGGGCACCGGCGTCCCTTGGGCGGAGGAAGGGACTCCCCCACCCACCCCCAACCGGGGCCGCCTAGGGGTAAAATTTAAAATTTGAAAAAAAAAAAAAAAAAGGAAGAAAAAAAAGGAGGGAGAGAGTGAGGGAAGGAGACAGGGAGGGAAGGAACGCGGAGCGCCGCTTCCCCTCGCCAGGTTGCTCGAGGATCTCCAGGCGAACAGGCAGCCGCGCCCGTACTCGGGGTACACGGAAAAGCCAGCTCGGGGGCACTGGGCCGGCGCCGGGATAGGGCAGGAGTAGGGCTCGGGCCAGCCCAGCGCTATCCCCCAGCCCCTGTGGGAAAGGGGGCTCCTTTGTTCAGCGGGAGCTGCCAAGCTCTGCCCCAAGTCCCGCGCTACTCAAAGTGCTGCCAACTGGGGCCAACTTCAGTGAGTCCTCGCCCTCTCTCCTCCTAGCGAGGCTCTGGCCGCAGCCCCAGAAGCGGACGGGGAGAAGGAGAAGGAGGTGGAGAAAAAGGGGGGAAGCGAGGGTGGGGGGTAGGAGCCAGCTGCTGAAAGGCGGAGGGAGGGATAGGTGATTCCTCTTTTCCAGATCTTCTGGGGAGGGGATTGTTGTAATTAATCAAATCCAGGCAGGAATTTTTTTTTTTTTTTTTAAAGCGGCTTCCAAGAGCTCCCCCAGCTGCACTGCATCGCCCCAGCCAACCTGAAGGGAGAAGCAAACGAGGAGCAGACAGACCACGCACCCTCGTTCCACCTGCAGCTCAGTCCGGCTCTCCTCTCCTCCTCCCCAACCTGCCAGGTCCTTCTCCCTACAAAACTTTCCCTGATGTTGTGTGCCGGCCTCGGAAGGATGCTTGGCCTCCGGGTTTGCCTGCTTTACCCGCCTCGCAGGGGATTTGCAGCTGTAGAGAGAGGTCCGTGTCTCTCTCCCTCGACGGCTGCCGGAGCTCCTAGCGGGAAATAACGGGCTGCAGCTGGAAGGGAGCCGACAAAGAGAGACAAGAAGCTGGACAAAGTTGGGCTATTCCTGCTAGATGCCAGCTGGAAACCGCTTGGCAGGTCCCTGCCCCACCGCTTTTTCCTCAAGCGCCAAAATCTCCTGCAAAAGTTGCTGGGAGCGTCACCGCTCCCCAGCCGGCCCCGGGGCTCTCCGCTCCACCGGTCCCCGACGGGGCGTCCGGCGGTTCCCGCGCCCGTCGGCCGGGCTGGCCCGAGGTCGCCTCACGCCATCCTGCCTGCCGGCTCTGCCAGCTGCGCCTTATTTTCTTCTCTGTTGGCTTTCCAGGTTTTTCCCATCTTCTCCTTACCATTTCATTCCTTTTTTTTTTTTTTTTTTTTTTTAAAAAAAAAAAAAAAAAAAAGGAGCCAATTAAAGCGGCCGTGCTGGGGAGAGCCCAGCCTCCTGCCCAATTCTGCGGGCCTCCCCATGCCTCGCCCCAGCCCAATTATAGACAACACCGCAGGGCTGGGAAGTAAAAGGGACTTGCTTCGTGCGAGAGATGGGTCGTCAGACCAGGGTATCCCCATCCTCAGGACACTCATGGCAAGGTCGGCTTCTCCCGACTGGGACCTGAGATGCGAAGGGGTGAGGAGGGCAGCTCCTGTACTGGCGCTGGCTAGTGCCAGCGAAGTTTTTTGCCCCCCACTTCCCCCATAGGTTGCAGGCTGGCGGGGTTGCCTTGTACATGCTGCCAGGGAGCGGCGGGGCGGGGGTGCCGTGCGGCCCCCAGCCTGGTGCGAGGCTGCGGGGGCCGCGGTACCCGCCGGACTGCCGGCCCTGGGCCGTGGTGAGGCTCGTACGTGAGACCTGGAGCCGGGGAGCTGTGCATGCAGCCTCCGCTCCTGCCCGCACCGCGCAGAGCTCGGGGCGAGAGGCTGGGAGGAGGAAGAGGATGAGAATGCTGCGTGAGTCCCGACCATCGTCACCGGCACTGGGGGGCTGCGCGGGGCCCTGCCTTGCCATCCCTCTCTCCGTCCGCTTTACCAGAGGGACAAAACGCTGCTTCTGGGGAGCCTAGACCTGCTCGCCTGCGAACCCGCCCGTGCCTTGCCAGGGGCCGTAGCAGTGAGCCCAGACCGTAAAGCGGAGCCAGCGCCGTGGAAACCCCTCTTGGGGCGCGCACTACTCCCGGGAACCCGGCTCCGGCTCGCCTCTTCCCCAGCGCTGAGAGCCCGCCGAAGCTCTCAGGGACGGGCTGATGCGGGTGTCCTTTAGCGACAGCAGAGTCGTCTGCGGCTCTTCCCTGAGGCTGGTCCCTGCGCACCCTCCCGCCTCGGCCACGCGTGGGCTGGGCGCGCTGCCCCCGGGCGCTCCCGCGGCTCCCTGTGCCGCCGCTCTGCACCCATGCCCGCTCCCCGCGGTTGCTGGCGAGGGGTGCGGGACCCGGAGAGAAAGCGGTTGGAAAGACTCGACAGGCACTGAGTCACCGTGTGAAGAAGTCACTCCCTGATAAAAACGTAATTAAAAAAAAAGAAAAGAAAAAGAAAAAATATCAAGAGATATGGCATAGGGAGAGCGGCTGCCTGCTCAGTCGTGCTCTAACAAACAAGCAATTAATAGATATAGCCCCTAATTAGTAAGCGGTTGTTCTTATTGTAAATGGTGCTCAGCGGGAGAGAAAAGCAAAGCGTGCACCAGGAGGAGAGCGGCGATACGGACAGGGCAGCTTCCCCCCAGTGCCCAGCATCCCTGCATGGAGGTGGCATGGCAGGCGATTTCCCACTGGGCTCTATTCTATCACTTGTCAGGATACCGCCAGTATAAAACTGCCTTGTTTGGTTTTGTGTGGTTTGGGGATTTTTTTGTCCTTTGTGTTTTTTGTTTCTATAACCAAGCTAAGGGAACATTTGCCAAGACACTGCGGGCTTCACACTCTGAGATGCCCTTTCTGTAGCTGATGGAGTGGGGCACTTGTGAAAGCACCTGATGTGATCAAGTTTATTCCTTAATACAATAAACCCTTGTCTGAGAAGGATTCAGTCCTTCCTGTGGTGAGTGGTGGCAACATTAATAAAGGGCGCATAGGTAGAAGGAGGCAGCCAGCACGAGGAAGGGACAGGTGGAGCAACCCCCTTGCCAAGGCATAGGGAGAAGGAGGAGCTGTCAATGATGAAAAGAAACAAAATTGTCCACATATCCATTCAACACAAGGAAAATGAAATGTAGAAGTGTTTGCAGATCCAAGAAACTTCATGGTGGCTAAAAAAAACCAATCAACATGGCAACACGGAGACACAACTCTCGTTTTTTTCTATGCGTAACTTTGAAATAAGGATATTTATGTGGCATTTTGTAGCCTTTTCATTTCTTTTTTTTCAGGGATTCTCATTAAATTATGGAACAGTGCCTCAGTGTTTGAACGAGTATCCTGGCTAATGAGTCAAAAAAAGAAAAATCAAAAAGTGTGTGCTTCACACCCCTTTTTGTGTTAACATTCAATGAATGTACTCATGTTTCATTGGCTCAAACACTTATGAAAGATGAATTTCAAAGTAAACTGACAAAGTATACTCTGAGTGGAAAAAAATACTGCCAAAACCCAAGTACCTAACTGCATTTGCTAAATAAGGTAATTAATAATTATTGCTCGAAGCCTAATAAATCATAGCATTCATAACTATGGAGCTTTCAGTGGGTGACAGCAAGGCAGCGCTCCTATGCACACTTGCTAAGCAAGCTACTTGCCATAGGCAAACCATACTCTGTAGTGATTCTACTTGTCAAAAAGCAAAGATGAGGGATGTCTTTCCTCCCCCCAAGACTGTGTCTGCAGAACATATTCGTCCCATCTTTCTATCTGGGAGTCAGTGTCTTTGGTCGCTTCTCAAGACCCCACTTGTCAGATGAGTCCTGTCTCTGAAATATTTATACATACTACATCACCTATATTTCACAGCTATGTTAAGAGGTAGACAGTCTCTGGGACAGATGTGGTGTTCAAAGGGAGCAAATCATATATAGCACAATGACGCCAGGCAAGAGGTGATTGAAGAACCATGTGAGGCCAAGGTCCAGTTGTAACAACATTAATTATCTCTGTGTCAATGTTTTCATGCCGTAGTCTGGTTCAGTCTGTCATTTATTTCTTTTCTGGGATGATGCAACTATCTCTGGGCCTCAGTGATCTTTTGAGCTTGTGGTCTGACATTTCTTTCACCTCTTTCCTGTTCATTATCTTCTCAGCACCACATCCAGGAATGACTCCATCATAGGTTTGCATCAAAGACCTGAGCATAGAGGCTTGTCCCTGCAATGCTGCTGAGCTGGGCTGAGCAGGGACAAGTGTCCAACCCAAGGCAGTGAGATGGGGCAGTAAGAGAGTCAAAGAGGGGGAACTGAGAATGGGAAGGGAATGCCAGTGTGTGTGAGGAAACTGTTACAAAACAAACTAGGGGCAACAGCACCAGATACTCTGCAATGCACAAACTACCGGAAGATGGGAAAGCATGGGTGAAGCTACAATGACAGGATGCAGTTAAACTGTCTGCTATCTGTTTTCCTTCTGTTTAACTGGTCTTCATAGGAAAACTGTAAAAAAATATACTAAAAAACCCTAGTTTGCCATTCTGAAGTGCTAGAGTCAGAATCTCTTTGTGGGAAAAAAATTGCCTAGAGCAGTCCTTCCACCATTCATAACACCATTCATAACTGCTGCTGTCCTAGATCCTCCTGGGTATCTCCTGCTTCCAGTGTGAAGCATGCCAAGATAGGGTTATAAATCCCAGGGGTTCTGCTTTGCTGTCCTCAGTTCTCCTCATCTCCACTCCAGGGAATACACCTATGCCGTGCTCACTTTCTTCCCAGATGCATTTTACAACACTAGTAGTACTTCTCAGCCTCTGCTGTATTCTCTGGTTTTTTGATTAGCTCTCCTCATCACAGACAGTGTTTGGTACTGAGAGGAGTGATGAAGAGGGAGTCCATCTCTATTCCTCATCCAAGGCCTACTGGAGCTTTATCACCCTTCCTTCCCTGCACCTCCCAGATGCAGCTAGTTGCAGGGCCATGTTGGGATTTCTGATAGCTGATTGCTATT